GAGCCGCGCACCGATAGCCAACGATAGGGCGCAGATTTCACGGAGCACGTCTCGGATCTAGAGAGCCCCCGAACACCCTTTTGCCGACCGCGAGAGCCAGCCCGAGGTCGTCGACAAAGATGAGCAGCCGTCGGCCAAAAAGCAGAACGGCTTCGAAGCAGGTGGCGAAGAGCCGAGGACAGAGCCAAACCCTCGAGCCAGACCCCTCATTGAAAGTCGGGGCCACCTGCCTGCGGTCGAGGCGCATGAAGTCGGCGCCCGCCGGGTCGAAGGAGCTGGCCTCCACGCGCGCCCGGGGCAGCCCCGCGGTGAAACCCGCCACGTCGTCATGCGCGGCGGAGGCGGGCTCCGAGCACGCGCCCATGACCGAGACGTCTGCCGCTTCCTCTGCCAAGAACGCGCGGTAGCGCGCAGCGGCGGCGCCGGAGACGCGGTACCTCCAGCGCTCAGCCACGCGGCAACTGCTCCATGCAGCCAGAATAATGCGAAGAGGTGCGGAAGGCGGGTCCGAGCATGGGCGCGCCAATCCCAGCTCGTTCCGAAGGCGGTCAGCATCGTCGGCACTACGGCGCGAATTGGCCAATAGATCCCCCGACCGCGAAAGGTGCCCCGGGGCGAGCGCGGCGGCCAACGTAACTGGCGCGGCACCCGTCGCGGGCCAGGAGACGAGGTCCTTGTTACAGAGTGCGACCGGGGAAGAGCCACCGTGCGTGAGTTCCCGCGGAGCTCGCGCAGGCCCCCGCGGGTGCTGACGTCTCGGGGCGGGGGGCCCAGCGCAGCGCAGTTGTCCATGATGTGCTCCTTGGCGAGCGCCTGGGCGACCGCGGTGCGAGCGGGCCTGGGCGCCCGGCCGAGCTGGCCCGTGGTGCGAGCGGCCTGCCAGACCGCTGAGGGGAATGATCGCGTCGTTCGCATGTTCGGCACTGTGCCGAAGTAACTCCCGACGACGCTGAAGAGCTCGTGAGCCACCTGGAAGCCTGGCGGGCACATCGAGCAAGGAGAGCGGGGAAATGTCTCGCTGGCGACTAGCCGACATCGGCCAGGAGCGAAAGGCCTGCGGCGCGAGCTCTTGCGCACGACCAGGGCGCAGGCAGCTGCCTTGTCCAAGAGAGGCGGCGGGGTGATCAGCCCTGCCCGCCGCCCTGCTCGCCTCGGCGGCGGGTTGGCGGCGGCGGCTCGGCGAATGCCCGCCCCTCCCGAGCTTCGCGGCGCTCTTTGAGCACGGCGCTCTCTGCGGCCACCTGCCCGGCGACCCACTTCGAGAGGGCGGGGCGCACCATGGGGCCGCGAGTGTTCTGCGAGCCCGTGAAATACCAGCTATCGTCGTGCCCCTGGTGACCGGATCCCATGGCGCCGAACAGGCGGTATTCGAGCTTCTCCTCGCAGAGCTGCATCTGTCGACAGATGAGTTCCACCGAAGCAAGGTTGCTAGCGTCGATCTGGTCGTAACACATCGCCACCTGGAAGATCTTCGACAGCTCGGAGTGGAGAAGCATCGCCGGGTCGTCGAGGCCAGTGCGGCACGCGGAGCGAAAGGAGATGCGATACCCAACTGCTGGCCCGCCGTACTCCAGCATGATATCCGCGCGCCAGAGGACTGCACATGGCCCAGGCACCACCCAGTCAAGCCAGGCTTGCTGGCGCATCTCTGCGACCGCGTCGCGGAACTCCTTGCGGCGCTTCCCCTCCGCGTCGTAACCGACGGGCAACGTGCGGAAATCGTCGCCAGCGTCCACTCGCAACGGCCCTGGGCTGGCGGCCAGCGCAGCATGAAAACCGCCGCGCCCAGCGTCGGCGCCGACGACGACAGCGGCCCCAGGAGCGACCCCAGCTGCTGCAGGTAAAACCCCATAGGCGGCGGGGGCCGCCGCGGGGGGGCCCGCGACAGGCGCGGGGCCAACGGGCCCTCCAGGCCCAGCCAGGGCAGCGGCGAGGCCCGCGGCGGCGGGAGCAGGCGGCGCGGGGGCAAGGGCCGCCGCGGGGCCAGGGCCAGCAGCGGCGGTCGCAGGCACGACAGCCTGCACCCCTGCAGCGACGAGCGCGGCGTCGTGCTCAGCCACCATCCGGACGGCCGCGGGGCGCAGCGCAACGAAGCTGGCCAGAGTGAGCGGGGCCGCGAAGTCGTACACAGGGATGCCTCCAGCTGCTGGTGGAGGGCCCCCTCCGTTGACACGGCGGTACCAGGCTCGAATGTCAGTGTTGCCTGGTCCAAGCTCCTCGATGTAGAGGTCGTCGTCAGGAGTGATGACCGCGCAATCGGTAGGGCGGACCGCCGACACAGCCACCACAGCACGGCCATGCAGGAGCGGCGGCTGCACCGCATACTCAATGAAACCTCATCGCCCTCGATCATCGATAGACGCCACCGCCGCGGGGCTGGTGCTGCAGCGGCGGCCGACTCCCGCCAGTCGGCGAACTCGGCGCTGGCCGCGAACCCTCAGGCGCAAGCGCGGGCGCGCTAGGCCGCTGGGCCTTGCGCCGACCGCAGCGCCCGCAAACAGACGCCAGCCAGCGGAGCCCCTCCACGAACAGCGGGCCCGCGAGCGAGAGGAGCACGTGCTGGGGCGCCGATTGCTCGGGCAGCGGGGAGCCGGCCGAACACTGCTGGAGCAGGGCGACGCACTCCTCCAGCGAGGGCGCGAGCTGTTCCACGACTAGCTCCGCGCACGGCGGAGCGGGCGGGAGCCAGGCAGCGCAGGCCTCCGCAGAGAGCGCCTCCGGCTCCAGGTTGGCCTCCGCAGCCGGCGGAGCCGGCGGAGGCGGCCCAGGACCGCCGGCGAGGCGCTGATGAGCGGTCGGGCCAAACACAATCCAGGCCAGGAGGACGCCTAACTTGGCGAGGTTGGCTCCCTCCGGCCGCATCTCGAGAGAAAAGGTTTCGGAGCAGATGCATGCACATTGCCAACTGTTGTAACACTGGGAATCAGGCGAACGCATCTGGCGGCTCTCATTCTGCTTTAGGATTAAAGTTCGGAGAACGACCATCATCAGCATCATCACCATCATCACCACAACATCTCCATTTCGGCACACCCCTGACACGCCTCGTTGTCCTGCAGGGGTCCACACCGAAGGCCAGTGGCAGGGTCAACATGCGGCTCCCCGCCTGTCAAGTTCGGCACATCTCTCACCCCAGGATGCTTACAAAAGACCCCCAAAAAGCCCCAAGAGGCCCCCCAGGGGCACCCAAGACGCACCGTGAGGACAGTGGGACTGCCAAGAGACCATCCAGACACCCCAAATGGACTCTAAGAGGCTCTATGAAGAAATCCGAAGAGACTCCGCGAGGCATCCAAGAGGCTTCTGGCCTTTCTGCTCGCTCTCCTCCTCCTCCTCCTCCTCCTCCTCCTCCTCCTCGTCCTCCTCTTTCTCCTCCTCCTCCTCCTCCTCCTCCTGCTCCTCCTCCTCCTCCATTCTTTCTCCTTATAAATAACTTCTCCCTGTCCCACCCCGAAGCCAGTTTTTAGGGCGGGCCGGGCGTTTCGCCTCAGACGTCCTCACCATTTCTGACCCTCAAACTTAAACGTTGGCAACAGTTTCACACATGGACGGCGGGTGGTTTCAAAATGTGGCTCTCGCCTTAGCGCCGCGCACATTCGCTTTCAAAATCTGCAAAAAAAGTTTCACGGTTTGATGGCGGGTCGTTTTCAAAATGTGGCTTTCGCCTTCGCGCCGCGCACATTCGTTGTAAAACTTTGCTGCGACAGTTTCACGGATTGAGGGCGGGTCGTTTGCAAAATGTGGCTCTCGCCTTGGCGCGGCGCACATTCGTTGTACAAATCTGCATAAGAGCTTCCCGGATTGAGAGCGGGTCGTTTTCAAAATGTGGCTCTCGCCTCAGCACCGCGCACATTCGTGTCCAACAATTGCAGAAGTGTCACGGATTGAGGGCGGTTCCTTTTCAAAATGTAGCTCTCGCCTTAGCGCCGCGCACATTCGTTTCAAAAGCATTTGCAAGAGCTTCACGGATTGAGGGTGGTTCCTTTTCACAATGTGGCTCTCGCCTTAGCGCCGCGCGCAATCGTATCAGAACGTTGCAAGAGTTTGTTCGGATTGATCAGCGTAACAAAAACGGTGGTTTGGGAAGGACTCAGGGTTATGAGGGTGCAACAGTTACGTTGATTCGCTGTGTTGAAGTCTCAGGAATGGTGTTCTGGCACCATTCAAGATCGTCAAGACGCAACAGTGAGGACGATCCGTGGCAATGAAATTCCGACAATATTGTTTTGGCATGCTTCAGGGTCTTTAAACGGTTGCCTTCCAACGAAGCAATTTCCTCAGTGGAACTGAACCGTTGTAGGGGCCTATGAAGAGAAAGCTTGGAGGAGGGTTTATTCCAACATCGTTGATGACTCTTGGGTTTCCACTGGTCCTCCTCCTCCTCCTCCTCGTCCTCCTCCTCGTCCTCCTCCTCCACCTCCTCCTTCTCCCTCTTCTCTTCCTTATCCGCCTATTCCTCCTCCTTCCCTCCTCCTTCCTCCCCCTGCCCCTCCTCCTCCTCCTGCTCCTCCGCCTTCTCCTTCATCCTACCCCTCTTGTGGTATGACGTCTTACCCAGCATTTTAGTCCACTGCATGGTCCTCCACATCCCTGATCAAAGCATCTCGTCTAGGCATCGTTTCTGGATGGGCTGGTGCGATTACGCGAAGCGTCTCCAATTATCATAAGAAATCCACGCGGACCATCAAAATAGATGTTTATGCAGTTGTTTCTTCTCTGAGGGACGGAAGGGATTGACCGACTGCGAGCTCTCTGCTGTCGCCCAGGAAAAAATGTCCACAACGGCCATGCCAGCATCGCCGCGTCCCCCCGACCGACCACCATGGCCTTCTCCTAGACTTCCCCGATCCCGCCCCTGCACTGAGCAAGCAGAGCGAGGAGCAGGATGAGGGGGAACGATTTCACTGCATAGCAAAATCGCCGAACTGAACAGCCTGAAGGCCTACTGGCCTGCACGAGGCGACAACAGTGAGGAGCAAACGTGCGTGAAGCATGGCAGCCTTCGCTCTGTCCAGGCGGTCGGGGAAGGCCGCCAGGTTGCGAAGCTTCAGCGCCTCGAGTGGCGTGCCAAAGTGACAACGAGAGCGGCCGAACCAATTCAGGACGCTCGCGTGCAAGGGCAAGAGGTGAGGAGGCGCAAAGAAGGGATCGGGGGAGGGGGGAGGGCTTCTTAGTAGAAGCCTGCTTCTTAGAAGGCGCCGGCCCTGCATCTACAGATGAGGTCCGCGCCCCGCGCCTTCTAAGAAGCGGAGGGGGACCCCCAGAAGTCTCCCCCCTCCCCCTGGCCG